TCCAACACCACTACCACAATCACCGACCGACCATCATCACCACAATTACCCATTACCAGCACCTTCGTCGCCACCCCGCTGCCACCGTCGCCACCACCACCACCGTCGCCATCATCGACATCACCACTGCCCCCACCACCGCCACCGTTCCCACGCCCACCCTACCACCACTACCGTTTTCTGAAAATGAAAACTGATAGAAAAATATACATCTAAACACGTTTTCTAATTTTCTAAAACTGAAAATGAAAAATGAATAAGTTTTATCTAAACGCGTTTTCTAAATTTTCCAATGAAAACTGAAAACTGAAAATGGAAAACGAAAAACAGAAAATGAAAATTATTTTTCCGTAACTAAACGCAATTTTTTTTTTTCTTGCATAAGTTTAAGAGATAGGCCCAATTAGAATGATATTGCATTGCCATTATTGCTTAAGAGTAAGTATTTGAGATCAATTGTCCATAATGATTTTGATGTAAAAAGAATTGTCTGGAATTCAAAAGCCGAAACTCGGTCCAATAAGCTGATCACAAAATTAGAAGTGTTTACCAAACAAAGACTGCATATATAGATTTTGATAATTTGATCCATGGATCTTGCAAGTCCATATACGACCCGGCCCATGATCTCTTCATTTTCAGATTTTCTCACTCGGTCACCCACAGATTATGAGTGCATATGCGTCGGATTCCGGATACAACTTCCTATTTCGTACTCGTCTGTGGTCGATCAGCAATTGAATACCTCTCTTTCTCTCAAAATCGCAAACAATCAGAAATTCAGAAGGCCAAATTTTGATCTGTAAGTTATCAGAAGCTGTAATCTCTATATCTACATGCATCACTGCATATTGATTGTATCTTCTTGTTGATAGAAAATAAAATCGTCAAATCGACGCTGATGTCTTTTTTTTTTCTTTAGGTAGGATTTAATGGGTTGCACTGTTAGAGAAAAGCACATCCGTACAAATCGAAGGCCTCGACCTCTGAAACCGGATTCTGATGCAATGGATAAAGCTGTGGCTAACAAATCTAGTTTAAACCCAATGAATTTCCAATTGGGTTTTAATGAATCAGCTCAAAATCCCAATTCAAACCCTAATTTTGACGATAGTGGTTGGGGTTACTGTACGGAGGAACAGTTGGAAGAGATTTTGTTGAAGAATTTGGAGTTTTTGTATAATGAGGCGATCGTTAAGCTAGTTGCATTAGGGTATGAAGAGGAAGTTGCTTTAAAGGCTATACTGAGGAATGGCCATTGCTATGGTGGAATGGATGTGTTGACTAACATTTTGCATAATTCCTTGGCTTTTTTAAACAGTGGAACGACTGTGAATGATGGAGATCCAGATGAAAGCGAACAGGTTTTTGCTGATTTGAGACAGTTGGAAGAATATTCGCTAGCTGGCATGGTGTGTTTGTTGCAGCAAATTAAACCACACTTGAGTAAAGGAGATGCAATGTGGTGTTTACTCATGAGTGATCTTCACGTAGGTCGTGCAAGTGTGATGGAAATCCCTATTGCTTCAAATGCTAATGGGGATGGTTATGGCAATACTGAGTCCAGCAGTCCTGTTGTGAACAATGTGGAGAAGGTGAATGATGATTCAGTTGGTGTGACTCCTGCTTTATGCAGGTTTCATGGTGGGTGGGGTTTTGGAAATGGGGGAACATCTGATTTCCCTGTAAACCGGTTTCTATCATATGCTGCTTCAGAAATGAGTTTGCAGAGGGAGATCGAGTGTCCAAAGAGGTTCAATCTTACACCTTCTATGAAGATGCTTTTGAAAAGAAATGTAGCAATGTTTGCTGCAGGATACAGAGCAACTGCTAAAGACACACAGGTTGGTTCAAGTTCTTTATCCAATGGGCATTCATCAGCTGTAGTTGAAACCACAAGTGGTGAAGTTGAAAAAACCGAGGAGACACAGAGCACGAAGAATCAAGAAGTGGTTAACATGATGTTGAGTAAGTTTCGTGATCTGAATCTTGAAGGAGACATGGAATATGTTCCCGAGGATCAAAAGGATGAGATGATCTTGAGTTTAATGCATCAGATTAAAGATCTTGAGAGACAAGTGAAGGAAAGGAAGGAATGGGCACATCAGAAAGCAATGCAAGCAGCAAGAAAGCTGAGTCATGATCTTACTGAATTAAAGATGTTGAGAATGGAAAGGGAGGAAACACAACGTATGAAACAGGGGAAACCAGGTACTGAAGATCCAACCATGAAGAGGCTTTCAGAAATGGAGACTGCTTTGAGGAAAGCAAGTGGACAAGTGGACAGAGCAAATGCAGCTGTTAGACGCCTTGAAACTGAGAATGCTGAAATTAGAGCAGAGATGGAGGCTTCAAAGTTGAGTGCTTCTGAATCTGTTAACACATGTTTGGAAGTTGCAAGGAGGGAGAAGAAGTATCTTAAAAGGTTATTGGCTTGGGAAAAACAGAGAGCCAAGTTGCAGGATGATATTGCAGTGGAGAAGAGGAAGATTGGTGAGTTGCAAGAAGAGATGATCCAAGTTGAAGTAGCAAAAAAGGCAGCTGAGGTATGCTTTTCCTATTTGCATATTATTTTTTATTACTCATGCATATTGATTTTTTCATATACATTTTTGAATTTCATCATCCTTACTGCAGTTTCTAAAATTTTGTAAATGTCAGTGATAAGCTGTGGAGACCTGATTCTAATATGTTTTTACAGTTTATAAAAAAGAATACATGGTTATTAATTGGTTTTAATGAGTTCAAACTTCAGTAAAAAGCAAATTTCTATTTTCTTTTGTGTGACATTTGTTTTATGCAAGCTTTGGATTTTCTTAGGTCCAACAAGTTATGTTGATTGAGGTAAAGAAGCTTGAAAAGGGATGCTTGATAATATTACTTAGGGAGTTAGAAGGAAATCTTTTGTATTGATCCAACATGGACTAAATAAATATTATTCAGTTATGATGAAGACAATATGAGTTATGTTTGGTAGTGGAAGGGTAATTTAGGCAATTTAGGTTTTATTTCTGTTACAATGGTAAGCTAGTAGTTTTTGTCTCTTGGTTGTTTGTTTTTGTTACGTGAGCAGTATTTAGCTAGTAGTTTTCACCCATACATGTTTTCTAACAACTCTCCTCTTTTATTTATTGCTAGTTTTTGAAACCTTTGGAAAATAAATTGAACATGTTAATAAATAACAGGAAAAGTGGAAGCAGGAGCAAAAAGCAAAAGAACATGCCCTAACACAGGTGGAGGAAGAAAGGCGACTGAAAGAAGCAACAGAAGCCAACAACAAAAGGAAACACGAATCTCTTCGGTCAAAGATAGAGCTTGACTTTCAACGCCACAAAGATGACCTCCAAAGACTTGAACAGGAACTCTCACGTCTCAAAACCATGTCTTCAACCAACTCAGACAACAAACAACACTCAACCACTAATCTATCCACCCCACACACCCCAAACGGGTCCCACCCAACCATTGCCAGAATGCTCCATGAACTCGATAATCTTGATGATTCTGATGAAAAAGAAACCGGGATCGATCGCGATTGCATAATCTGTTTGAAAGATGAGGTTTCTGTGGTGTTTTTGCCTTGTGCTCATCAGGTTCTTTGTGCAAGTTGCAATGATGAATATGGGACAAAAGGGAAGGCCAAGGCCACGTGTCCAATCTGCAGGGTTCCTATTGAACAGAGGATTCGTGTTTTTGGGGCCACCTCTTAACTCTTTAACTCTTAAGCCGGTTGGTTATAAATTTATAATGTCAAGAGTAAATTGTTAAGGCTGTGATGATATTATTATACAAAACAGAATGAATGATTGGTGGTTTTTTGTTCATGTGGTGTTGGTTGCTTCAAGCTGTTGTGGTTAAAACAGCAACGTTACATTGTTTATAAATAAGCCTGTTTTCAGTGCATTTCACATTTCACATGATAAAAATAATACATGTCAATTGTCATGTCATGGAATGTATGTTTTAAGCGATTTTTCCCTTTTCAGTAGAAGCCAGCTGTAATGTACTACTTTGTTGCACCAAAAAAGATGGAAAAAATATCCACTCTCCATCTCTTATAGTATATGTGTGTGCCCTTCTCATCATCTTATCATCATCCAAAATAGTCATACAAACTTTCTTCAATCCTATCATTAATAAATAAAATAAATTTTAATAATGTCAAAGACATACTAAAACATGTAACAATAATCTGTAAATCTTGAATATAAATTTCAACCTAACACACGCACTCACACAACAGTTTCCACTTGAGATGCAGCGTGTCATGATCAAAGGGCCTTTGCCATTTGGTGTTTGCTGTACCAAATAATTTAGATGGGTCACAAGTGAGAAAACTTGATACGTTACTTTCGATTATTGAATATCTTTTTAATTTCTTCCTTTTCATTATTAAATATCTTTTTAATTTGTTCCTTTTCATTATTAAATATCTTTTTAATTTCTATATCGAACATGGATTGACATAAACTCTTTATCGGGTCTCAAGATATTGTTATAGGAGAATTTTTTTTTTTTCTATAGATAAGTCACATTCATAAGATTGTATTCTACTACTGTAATTTGTAACATTCCAATTTGAAGTGATATCCTAGCTCAATCACCTTTTTTCTTTAGCTGATTAACTGAAACTGTGGTTTTCTAAAACTCGTATTAAAAAACTTAAAATCACATTCCATGTTCTTAAATGATGTAGGTTGAATTGTTGCATAACACTATTAACTAGACAAACTTTGTTAAACCAAATCATACTAAGATAAAACTGATTTGGCTCGATTTTTTTGATAACTGTTATGCTTCAATTCAATCAATACCTTTCATAGTGCAAAAAGTATTATAATAGGGAGTTACCAAATGAGAAAGAAACTGAAAGGGACAGCTGTTATTATAACAATTAACCACAAACTTTAACTTAAATTTTAGGTTAACCATTAAAATAAACACCCAACCCAAAAATGACAAACATATTTTTGCTCTCCTTACCTTCTAACTCGCTAAATGTTTAGTTTTGTCGCATTCGAAATTCCACAACACTAAACCCGACGACAAAATGCCGACTACCCAATCAGATATCAACAAGGAAGGACCAAAGAGTTCATGTTTTGACATTTATGTGTACTTTAAACATTTAATGACTAAGAGCTTTGTAAAAACAAAAAAAAAACATTTAAGGTAATATATTTTTTGATTTATATATATTTGGTCAATGATTTTTTTTTACCCGTTCAACTTGTTTAAACTGTAAACATTTAGTCCTTATGATCGGCTACTTTAGATAAACAAAAAAAAAACGACTTAATATGGTAACATATTTATCACTTTATACACATTTAGTCCTTATATTTTTTGTTGCAAAATAAGTCTTCGTTTTTATACACATTCAATATTTATAACTGATTTTTTTAGATTTTGCTCACGGCAACCTACATGCGACAACTATTAATGTGGTGTTCGAGGTTGTTGATGCTTATGACCACCGCAACCTCATCAGCTTTGTTGCTTAGGTCTAGTTGTTTGACTTAGGTATTGTGTTTTGAACGTCGTAACTTCTTCATATAATCTCAAATTTTAACGATCTTTATATCTATGCGTTTGTACTTGAGTCTACTACAACTTTCGTTTAGATTACTCCCGTTAAACAATAATATATTTTTACTTACGATCTTTATATCCATGTGTTCTTTATGAATGTTTGTATGAACGTTTTTTTATTAGCAGTCCAACGAATCATGAATAACACGTGGATTAAAGATCGTAAGTAAAAATAGTATTACTTTAGATTACTCCAATTATTAGCATTAAAAAGTAATATATTTTTACTTACGATTTTATAAAAAAAAACGTTCATACATACATTCATAAAAACGTGTATATAAACATCGTAAGTAAAAATATATTACTTCTTAATGGGAGTAATCTAAACAAAAGTTGTAGTACGCTAAAAAACGAACAAATGGATATAAACAACGTTAAAATTTGAGATCGTATGGAGAAGTTACGACGTTCAGAACACAGAGGTCGCGGTTGCATAAACATCAACATATTCGAACACCTCATTAATGATCGTTCCACATAGGATGTCGTGAGAAAAACTTAAAGAAACCAGTCATAAATACTAAATACGTACAAGAAACTAAATAAACCAGTATGTTGTAACTAACACACA